TGGCCATGTATATGTTCCAGTTTCCGAAGAGGGGCACCAGCGTCGGGCTGCGGAACAGAGGAGCACCAAACGCGGGGCGCACAGAGACAGACTACTACTAGATGTCCTCCCTGGGGGCGCGCGTCCGACCCGCACATACAATAGACCCATCTTGTACTAAATCGTTTCCCGAGCGGTGTGGCCACAAAGCGACCGCCACGACGCATGTACTGCAAGATTTCTCGGTGCGCGCGTCTCCCCTGAGGGGGCGACGCACACATAGTATTAGTATGTTGGGGTGACGCCGACAAGAAGGAACGAAGATGCTCCCAAGGGGCCCCAAACCGGCACCCCAGAGGCACCCGAGCGTGCTCTGGAGAGGCCCCACGAAGCATCTCTGAGGACTCTGCCCCACGTCAGCGTCAACGTCAGCGCTGGCGCGGCCGCCGTGGTCGTGGTCCCCCTTCAGGATCAGCGGCACCGGCCGTCAGGCCTTCCCAATAAGGAGCACCTCTGAAACAAGGGACGAAACTCGCCTTTCGGCCCCAGGAGTGCCTGGGTGCACGGGAAGGGCCAGAGGGAGGACCACGGAATGGCCCTCGCAACAGTGAGCCCCTTGCGAACCCAAAGTCTTCCTTATTCTAGCGTCTTGGCTGTAGGTGCCTCCCAGATGAGCGATGATAACAAGCGGGCCTTACGCGAGATGGCACAGCGACCTCACGCCGCAGCTCACGCGGGCAGCCAGCGCGGCACGCTAGATGGGGAAGCGAGGGCGCTTACGCGCAACCTTGCGCGGGCGGCTCACGCGCCAATGTCGGTGGAGACGAGCCCCATTTTCTGCGGCACTCAAAAGGTGGAGGAAGAGCGAGCTGCAGAAACATAAACGTTCGGAGGTCCGCGCGGATTTCTCGGATCTGCTTGGGCCCCCCTGGCGGCGCCCCTGCTGGCGCGTTCCGCGCGCCAGGGAGGGGGGTCCAGCGCCGATCCAAGAAGTCCGCGCGGACCTTCGAAAGTTGATGTTTATGCCGATGTACTTTTCTTCTTCAAAATGGGCACGATGCCCAGCAGCAAATGATGCCCCAAACCAACAGCGCTCGCTGTTGGGCAGGCGACGCTGTGTCTCAGATGGACAACCTCCGCGGCGTCACCAACAGCAAGTCCTGCGCAAGAGGAACAAGAACTGCTGTCGGTCTGCGTCCCCATTCTTTCCGAATGTACACCTTCTTTCCGTACCCGTTTCGATCGCACCGATCCTCCCTCTGGCTCAGGGGCACAAACGCCTGCGCGCCGGCCCTCATGGCGCTCCTGACGGACGCAGGGAGGCATCGACGCCGCTGCTCCCCCGACCTAGAGAGCGGAGGCAGGGTCGGGACAAAGTTGGATATCGGTACGGAACGGGAATCTGTGAGATCCGGCGGCTCTGAGGGCTGTATCGAGCGCCTCGGCGTTTTCAAGACATCCAGGAGCACCCTAAAAGCGTTCTGGTGCGCTCTGAAGCGATCCGTCCCGATCCTAGACCCGACCTGAGAAATCTTCTGGGAGCGCGATCTGGCCGGGATGCCGAAGCGGATCCAGCCGCGAGGGCTCGGGCCAGACGAAAGCAGCAGAGGCCTGGTCAAGCCAACAGGTAGGCCCGTGAGCGGGCGGGGCACGATCTGGAAAAAACGAGCCAGTGCGACCAGCGTGCAGGATGTGAAGGACGTGCACGACGAGTGAGCAAGCTTCGTGCCACTGTGCAGAAGGGGGAGGGGAGGGACGGGAGGGAGGGGGGGTAGGGGAGGGACGAAAGGGGGGCATAAAATGAAGGGGCCCTGGGACACACAAATAAATACACACAAATAACAGGATTCCCAATATTTGGCTCTATTTTCTGGGTTATTGCCTCCACCCCCACTTCCCATATTTTCCCATATTTTCCTGGGAGTCGACGATTAATTGTGTCTGTGTGTTTTTTTCCTCCTGATAAAAGCCAAGGCGGGGTCAGCGGGCCGGCTCACGCCGCGGGCTCTCCTGGCGCTGGCAGCGGGGCCCAAACCCGATGCGAGCAGCAGATTTCGCGCCTCCCGCCTGTCCAATCCCCCCTTCTAGGGGGAAACATGCGAACCCCACCCTCCCCCCCCAGAAATCGTGGGGGGTAGGGGTAGGGTTCGCATGTGGCCCCCTACCCTTCGTCCGACCCGACGGGCGAGGGCCACCCAGGAGGCCCCAAGAAGGCGAGGACAGGCGAGCTGGAGAGAGAGCGAAGGCACACGCCAGAGCTGTCGGAGGCCCGCGCGGACCTCCGCAAAGCAGAAACTCATGCAGGGCATGCCTGTTGCGGGAAGGGCAGCGGCGTCGGTCCCAGACGTCCTCCGATATGTTTTCATTCGATGCGCTGCCCCAGTGTAACCGACCCCTTCCCAGGTGCAGTCTTGCGTCGCAGACCCATTTTTCATGGCCCCAGGACTAGATAGCGGCCACCAGAAGCCAAAATGAAGGAAAAGCGACGCGAGTGGAGAAAAACAAATACATATATATATATATATATATATATATAAATATATATATATATATATATATGCACAGATCTACATATGTGCTAACCAAAATTAGAAACTACAGAAGAATAATAAGCATAAAATCGGAAGTAAATGCATTCACACTCTAACCAAAAACCAAGCAAACAAGTAAGCAAGCAAACAAACAACAGACAGCCGGACAGACAGACAGACAGACAGACAGACAGACAGACAGACAGACAGACAGGCAGGCAGACAGACAGACAGACAGACAGACAGACAGACAGACAGACAGACAATAAACGGCCAGAGGTCTGGGGCATCTTCTCCTCCCCCTGGGCTCCCCTCTGCGCCATCCTCGAGCGCGGGGCCCTGCGGGGCCCCGCCGGCGGCCGAGGCGGCGGCGGCCCGCGCCGCCTCCGCCAGCCTCTCCGCGACGTCTGGCGGCAGGGGCCGCACCGCCCTCAGGGTGCCAACGTCGAAGAGCCGCCGCACGTCTGCGGGGCTCGGCACGCTCAGTCCGCCGACCCGACGGGCCTGCCCAGCGGTTGCTACTGGTGGCGACGGGCCGCCCAAAGCCCTCTGGGCGCCCTCGGCCGGAGGCCGAGGCAAGTGGCCGGGGGCAGAGAAGAAGCCGCCCTGTAGGGCAGCCTCGCGGCCACACCCCGGGGCGGAAGCAGCTGCAAGGAGCCCTGGCAGGGCAGCTCGCAGCCGAGGAGGCTGCGGCGCCACCGCGGGGCGGGGAGAACGCGGGGATGGGGAGTGGATGCGCCGCCGCGACTGCAGCGGCTGGTATGCGTCGGGCCCTGTCGCCTTCTGCGAAGCAATAGTACAGGCACCCCGACGCCCCATATTTTCTAATGTTTTCTAAATTTTCGTCTTGCCCACCACTTCCCATATTTTCCCATATTTTCCTGGGGATCGACGATTGATGGTGCCTGTGTATTCTTTCCCCTCCTGGGTGATATCGTTGTGGGCCCTTGTGAGCACATCTGGAGGGCCTCTTGAACAATCATTGGAAATTTCTGGGGGATGACCGAGTCCCTTCCGCGCCGTCTTTGGGGCCAGAGGCAAGCCCCAAGAGGGCCCAAGGGGGCCCAGCACAGCTCCCAAGCAAGAGGTCCCCCAGGGATATCATACCTGGGGACCTTGGTAAGAACATATAATAGGCGGCCTTTTTTCGGGTCCCTCACAGAAACCCTTTTGGGCTCCTCTTGGAGCTCGCTTGGGACTCTCCAGGGCCCCATTGGGTCAGAAGGAAAACCCCAAGAAGGCCCAAAGGGCTTCGAGAAGGCCCTCGAAGCGGCCCCAAACGATATCATACCACCGGCTTTTGGTATGATGTCGTTGGGGGTCGTTTTGGGCCCCTCTTGGGAACTCTGTTCGGCCCCTCTTGGAGCTGCTCTGGGGATGTCTGGGGTCCTCTGACGCCGGTTTGGGGTTCGGGCGCTTCCTGGGCGAACATGAAGGACATCGTCAGCTCGACGGTCACCTATTCTCCCGGCGGCGAAATCATATACATAGCCACAGGGGCAACCAGGGAATGTACAAGAACTTCTTCAGGCCTACCAGGGGGAGGAACAAACAAATCATGTACATCGATGAACTTGTTTTGTGACACCCTTACGGGATCCACCCCAGACAAGCCGAGGCATCTACATGAACAAGGCGAACGCGTCCGACGCCGAAACCCCGGCCGCACCCCCCCGCATACGAGGCGCCAAAGAGGTGCCCCCAGGCGCAACCCCGGCGCACCCATCCAGCGCACGGGGCGCCCACGAGGCGCCCTCGGGCGCCCAACAGGCGAACCCTCGCCGTACCCATTCCTACCCCTGTCTTCCCCCTCTGAGAAGAAGAAGAAGAAGAAACCTAACCGTACCCATTCCCACCCCTGCCTCCCCCTCACCCATTCATTCCTGGTCTGGGCGAGCACGGCCAAGCCTCCCCGCTCCGTCGAGCGCCCGTCTTGCCAACGGTATCCGACCTCCGCCCCGACTCACCCTCTCTATCCTCCCCACCTTTTCAACATCCCCCCGACACCACTCGTCCACCTTTACAATATCCGCCTCCCTCCACCTACATCGTCCTCTTTCTCCTTTTCCTGGTCCTCCTCGTTGGCTGACCCTCTTTCTGCATTAGGATCGGCCCCCCTCCTCGTCAGCCTCCGCCCCTGGTCTGCGCGAACCTCCGCCCAACAGCTGTTCTACCTCTCCTGCGCTTTCCGATATTGCCTCTGTGTCGTCATCCTTCTCCCTACCCCTTCTTCTGCTCCTCTGACTGGTTTCTCTCCTATCCTCCGCCCCCTTCTCTTCCCTGCTCAAGGTACGCGCGGGCGGGTTGGCAAACCGAAATTAAATTGGTGATGTATCGTCACCGGTATTCCCTCCCACGTGCTTCCCCCCGCACGTCGTCCAAAGGTTCCGCCCAGGAAAAGCCAGCGCGAATTAGAAACCGAGGACAAAGCGATAGTGCTAAAGAGCACAAACATTGATTTGAACCGAACAGTTACCACAGTGATCATAAAGTAGAAACGCCCTAGCGAGAAAATAATTTGGGAGAGCGCATCAGCAAGCGAGGGACGCTGGAAGGGAGGCTTCCAAAGCATATATGAGGTTTTGAAAAAATGAGCTGCGGTGGCCCCCAAAAACTGAAAAATTGTGTCATCGAGCGCGTCTTGAATCTCGGACTCGCATAGCGTACAGACACGAGAACAAGAGCGTACACAGCGAGGAACAGCTCACAGGTACGCAACAAATGACGCAAAAACGACGTCAGGGACCATGAGTCGGCACGATAAACTACCATAAAGGAAAACAATGCAGCCACATCCCAATTCGCGGTTTTCGAAAGATCTTCGGGCTACTTGGAAGCACGGGACAGGCAACTGAACGCAAACGTGGCATTTGCGAACTGTCAGCCAAAAGCGTATTAAACAACACAAAAAAAGGCAAGCGGCGAAAACTTCGACGCTAGTAAACGATGAATTATCCATGTCACGCATGCTCCCCGGTTCGAGTTCCCCGAAAACCCGAAACATCGTGTACGTACACGTCCTTTCCCGCTCCCGGAAAGACGACAACGGGTATTTCTCTATATCTTTCTCGCGCGACAAAAAACTAGATGAGTGCAGCCTGGCCGAAAATCCCACCAGTCCTCTGGGCGTGAATGATTTTGAGCGGTTCCTCTTCCACACCCCCTTCTTCCCCTTCGGGGAAAAGCTTACCACTCTTCCCTACTAATATACACCCCCTCCCCCAGGCGACCGGCAGCCAACCAGGAGCAATGAGGATCCGATGAGGACCCCCAAACCATCCTTGTCAAAAAACAATACACGAAACACACACACACACACACAATCTGCATCCAAATTCGAAGCATGCGCAACCAACCCGATGTGGGCACCCCCACCATCCCTTTTTAAAAAACAATACAAAAAAAAAAAAAACAAACAAACCAAAAACTGTGGGGCAAAGTCTGGAATCATGTTCGTGAGGCCCGCGAGCACGTTGTGCTTTTTTTTTCTGACGAGGACGGCGGAGAGGTCAGCATATTGCCTGCTGCGCGCCAGGCTACCCTCCCTGACCCCCCCAAATAAAATGCACCTCGCGGCTAAATCTGGTTCGTGCGCGGCCACCCCGCGATTACTGCCAAGTGGTTTTTGACAGGGACGGCTGGGGGGGGGCCTATTGCCTGCTGTGCGCAGGCCCACATGACACAATGATGGGCATTGGCTTTCGACAAGGATGGTGGGGCCGACATGTTTCCCGATGTGCGCTGTCACGTGCGCAAGCGCGCCTGACACACTCTGCACGTGCCCCGAACGTGGCGCAACTGGCGCGGCTGGAGTACGGGGCACACCTGGCGCACGCGGAGGCACGTGGCGCATCTGGCGCACCAGGCATGCCTGGCACGCTCGGGCCCCAGGGGTGCCTGGCGCGCGTGGCGCGCCTGTCACGCGTGGAGCACCTCGCCCCAGCGTCGCGCACATGGGCTCGGTTTTGGTTCCCAGTAGCTGTCTATCCGAAGACGACCGCTGAACATGCTGAGGCTCGGTTCTTACTTATGTGTTGGGAGCGCGGGTGGGCGCGAGCTACACCGCTTGCTATCTACAAGGGTATATTGACCCATCCCTCTACGTACCCTCCCCCCTGGGTCTGGAAGGGAGGGGCCGCGAGGCGCTGGATCGCGCAAGATGGTCTCGGCGAAGAAGCCCAAATCATTGACTTGACTAAAGCGTTGGCCCCATGTTGACCTCCTGGTTAGGTGGGGTGCTAATTTAGGAGCCCCCCTCTTTTGACCGATCTCCCCTAAGGTGGCCTAAAGATGACCACCGAAATCCCAAGGGTGCCCCAAGACAGCCCCACGAGGTGCCCGGGAGGCCCAGGGAGGCCCCCAAGACACCCCCAAGATGCCCCCAAGAGGCTCCCAAGAGAGCCCGAAGAGGCCTCAAGAGGCCCCCCAAAGGCACCAAACACGCTCCAAGAGGCGCGAGAAGGCTTGCACTTAGGTTTGGGCCAATTTGGCCTCCTGAAGGGGGGGGATAAGGGGACCCCCTCTTTTGATCGATCTCCTCAAAAATGTCCCCAAGATTACCCCCGAGGCTCCCAAGGGTGCCCCGAATGGGCCCAAAGAGAGCCCCAAGAGGTGCCCAGGAGGCCACAAGGAGCTCCCACGAGGCCCCCAAGAGGCCCTCATTGGCCCCAATTGGCCCCCCAGAGGCACACAAGACCCCCACAGGGGCCTCGGCGAGACAGCCAAAATCATCGATGTCAGGCAGGTGTTGGCAACATGTTGGCCTCCTCGGGGGAGCCCTAACTGAGAAGCCCCCCTCCTCCGATCGATATCTTTCAAAATGGGCCCCAGGATGGCCCCTGAGGCCCCCAAAGGTGCTCCGCGACGGCCCCGAGAGGCGCCAAGGAGGCCGAGGAGGCCCCAACGATGCCCACATGATGCCCCCAAGAATCTCCCAAGAGACCCCCAAGAGGCCCCAAGAGGTCCCCAAGGAGCACCCAAAACGCCCCAAGAGGCCCACGGGAGCGCCAAGAGACCCCCAAGACGCCCCAAGGGGACTCCAAGAGACTCTCGGCCGGAATCCGAAGAAACTCCGAGATGCAGCCAAGAAGCATCTGGCCTTACTGCCCGCCCTTCTCTTCATCGTGTATTTCCTCCTGCTCCTCCTCTTCCTCCTCCTCCTCCTCTTCCTCCTCCTTGTCCTCCTTGCCCTCCTCCTCCTCCTCCTCCTCCTCCTCCTCCTCCTCCTCTTCTTCGTCCTCGTTCTCCTCATCCTCCTCGTCACCATCATAGTCAGCATCATCAGCATCATCATCATCCATATCGTATTCCTCTTCCTCCTTGTCCTCCTCCTCCTCCTTTTCCTCATCCTTCTCTTCCTCCTCCTCCTCATCATCATCATTATCCTCATTATCTTCCTGCTTCTCCCTCTCCTCCTCCTTCTCCTCCTCCTATTCCTCCTCATCCTCCTCCTCCTCCTCCTCCTCCTCCTCCTCCTCCTCCTCATCATCATCATCATCATCATCATCATCATCATCATCATCATGATCATCATCATCATCATGGTCCTCCTCCTCCCTCCTCCTCGTTATACTCCTCCTTCTCCTCGACCTCCTCCTCCTCCTCATCATCATCCTCCCCCTCACCAACACCACCAGCACCGTCAGCATCATCACCATTAGCAGCAGCATCATCGTCATCATCATCATCATCAACAACAACAGCAACAACAACACCAGCATCAGCATCAGCATCAGCATCAGCATCAGCATCAGCATCATCAGCTTTCTCATCATCAGCATCAGCATCTGCATGCTCCTCGTCCTCCTCATCGGCACGCTCCTCCTCCTCCTCCTCCTCCTCCTCCTCCTCCTCCTCCTCCTCCTCCTCCTCCTCCTCCTCCTCCTCCTCCTCCTCCTCCTCCTCCTCTCCTCCTCCTCCTCCTCCTCCTCCTCCTCCTCCTCCCTCTCCTCATGCTCCTCCTCCTCCCCCTCTTCCTCTTCCTCCTCCTCCTCCTCCTCTTCCTCCTCCTCCTCTTCCTCCTCCATTTCTCCTCGGATTCCTCCTCGCGCGTGTCCGAAGCGGGCCGCAGCCTCTCCTCCCGTGACGCGGCGCTTAGCGCCGCAGCTTGGCCCGCACAACGGGCACGAGAGCAAGGGCCTCCCTCCTGTCGAGAGGCCTGGATAGACGGCCACGTCTGACCCGCAGCCATGAAGAAAGCAAACGCAACGCGATCGGCACTTCTAGCCCCTCGGGCGCCGGCGCCAGCACGTCAGAGAGATCGATCCCGTCCCACCCCCCAACGTCCACAACCCCTTCCCCCACGACCTCCACAACAAGCTCACGCATGGATTGGCAGCGCCAGTACTAACGCATGCCGTGGGCTCTGAGCATCAGAGGACACATGTGGAGCCCGCGTGCTGGAACCTCCTTTGGCTCAACAATGTTTTAGACAGTGTCCGCACCAGAGCGAACGCGGGTCATACCTCGAATTTCGACCTGCCAAGAGAGACAGCGATGCAATATACAGCATCGATTTCCACTTCGAGGCCAGTGAACCAGCTCCTCCTCCGATTCCTCCTCCATCCTCCCGCTCTTGGGGCACGATTTCTTACCGAACCCTTTACTCCACATCCCTGATCAGGGCAACTCGTCTGGGCATTGTTTACGGATGGGCTGGTGAGGTTACGCGAAGCATCTACAATTACTCACAATGCAATGCTGACTCGAATGTGATTGATCCGATTGTGGCATGCTTCCGATGTGATCACACTATAAAGAAGGCAACAGCTGCATGTATTCTTCATTCACCTCAATATTAAAACAAGCTCTTGTGAGCTGTTTTGAAGTTCCCAAGAATGCGAATGGCGCCAACAACGACAACCTTTGAAATACTCTCAATGAGGAGAGACTCTGAACCTTGTGGATACTACGACCTTTCTGAATGTTGCGAAAGTGCGGTTTCCACAAACTCGGAATGACATGCCCCGTGGGGGCGTGCGACTACATTAGCAGCGAGGGTGCCACTATGACTGAACAGCTGATTTCCCTTCTCTCTGCCATCAAAAAAAACGCGGCAAACACTGGTTTGAAGTGCCTTCGTGCTTGGGGACACGTCTGTAGCCTTCGCAGAGACAAAAGGATGCTTCTCGATTTAGTTCTGAGAATTCAACCATCCAAATGCAAGTCAATTAAATGTCGCCTTTTTGGGTTGGAATCGCCAGCGTGTGCTGTGAATTTGATGTGTCTCAGCATTGGCCTAGCTTTTTGTAAGACACACATGCGTGTGAAGTGTTGTGGGTGACTCGTTGTTCTTCAAACTGAGTGCGCAAGGTGAGTGGAAGCCTTAGAACTGGTTCTCAACAGTTCTGCTCAGCTGAGAAGTGAAATGTCGTCTTCATGTCTACCCGGACAAATCAGCAGCAAAGCTTCAAGCAAACATAAACAATCTGCACTTTGAGCTGGACAAATGATCAGGTAATGCAGACCGTCTTTGGAATGAGAAAGGATTC